AGCTAAAAGGGTGTCTGGGGGCCATACTCTCAGGGTTTCTCCAGTCTCCTTTAGGCCAGTAAATCTGGTCTTTTTGTGTGTGTGTTAGAGTTTTGTTCAACATCCTTCTCCAGCTCTGTCTAGAACCCTCTGTTGTGAACCCGGTCAGAGCAGTCAGTGGTGGTAGCTGGGCTGACTTAAGTTCTTAAAAAACTATACTATTATTTAAGTATATATCAGGGACCAGCAAACTTTCTGTAAAGGACCAGACAGTAAATATTTTATGTTTTGTGGGCCATATGATCTCTGTTGCAACTACTTCAGTCTGCCATTATAGCTAGAAAGTGCATAGACTATACAGGAACAAACGGGCATGGCTGTGTTCCAGTAAAACTACTTACAAATATAGGTGGTTGGCCAGCCCACCACTGCAGTTTCCTGACCTCTGGTATATGTTAACAAAGCTTTCCTTAAAGTTTTTTATAGTATAAAACCAAACAAATTCACAAATCAAATATGAACCAATATAATTCAAATGAACACTTCAATTAATACGAAACCCAAACCCCAAACCCTCTGCCGTTGAGTCGATTCCGACTCACAGCGACCCTATAGGGTTTCCAAGGCTGTAAATCTCCAAGGAAGCAGACTAACACATCTTTCTCCCACGGAGCTGCTGGTGGTTTTGAACCGCCAATCTTTCGGTTAACAGGCAAGTGTTTAACCACTGTGCCACCAGGGCTCCTTCAATGAATATGGCTGATATTATTTTGCTAAAAAGGGATCACTGCGTGTATAGCAAATGTGATACTAACTACTAGGCAGAAGTTTTCACACTATTGTGTGTCCTGTGATAATTCTCTCAACAATTTTATGTTATTGTGTGCTGTCGAGTTGACTGTGACTCATAAAGACGCTATATGACTGAGTAGAATTTCCCCACGAGGATTTCCTAGGCTGTAATCTTTATGGGAGCAGATCACCAGGACTTTTCTCCCATGGAGCCACTGGTGGGTTTGAACTGCTGACCTTCCGATTAGCAGCCCAGAGTTTAACCATTGTCACTGCACTATTTGGCCATCCCTGGCAAAGAAAGAACCACTTAAGTATTCTTTTCTCAATTTAATAACTCTTAACCTTTTATATAATAAAACCAGTACTACTTGGCATCAATAAAATCTTAAACACAAATGCAGCTTAGGGCAATGTGTTCCCAAAGCAATACACTAAAACAAACCAAATAGCAGTAAGTACGAGCTGCATTAGCTATATGCCAGTAGTGTTCTAGGTGCTTCACATTTATTAATCATTTATCCTCAGAACAAGTATGATACCCATACCCACTGCTGGGCAGTGTAAGAGGTAATATCTACTAGCCATTTGATATAAAGTCAAATTTTAATATAATGAAACTAATCCACAGAGGTGGGGTAGTTTAACATTAAAGAACTTTAAATATACCTTGGCAAGGGAGAAATTCCTAATGTTCCACATGCGTCTGGAGAAATTAAGAGAATTAGAGGATGAGAGGCAGAACTATCCCAAGAGAGGATGGACACAGCAACGCAACTTGTCAAAGGATGTGACATGCTGCAAATGGGGTTGGTCGTCGCTCTTCCCAGATGTAGGGTTTGGAAGATTTTTCTTTTAGTGGGAATGCTTTTCTATATGTTAACAATAGAAGTAGTCGGAAATTAGCACTTTTTCTAAGTAAATGTGAAAGCGAGATTTTAAAAGATTATTGCTTTGCTTAATCTGAATGGGAAGATAAGGCACAGAGGGATTTAAAGCTAAAGCAAAAATTGTCAGACCTTCTAATCCAGTCTCTTCCATTTTCAGATGGCAGAGAGACCAAGAACCTTATCCTAGTTCATACAGCTGCTTAGTTATACATAAACGCCCAACCAACTGGCACATAAAAGAAAATGGCAGCACCAGGTGAGGACAGCAGTTGTTTCAATTAAATCAAGTAGGATGGGAAGCTTTACAATTATAGAAGTAGTTTAAAAAAAAAAAAAAACAAGACCAATGACAAAGACTTTAGTGACTTATTTTTACTTCTGGGCCACAGGTCATTTTGGAAATTCATAGAAAAACGTCTACAGATGCTTCTGAAAATAACCAAACTTAAAAAAATTCTTCCCCAAATCTTACGTTATGTTGCATTGCCAAAAAAAATAATTAAAAATGAAATTTCAAAATAAATTGATAGATATGTGAAGGGTTGGTGTAGCATACAAGACTGGGGTCTCTTTGCAGCCAGCAAACACCAGTGCCAGAGAGAACACTGAGTGACAATCTGGCAGTAACCGCTAAAAGGCAATTTAACTTACCAGATTATAGGATGGTAATTTTTGAGGGTAGGATATCAGTACACTTTTTTTAATTAAAAAAACACACATTAGTTTGCTGTATACACTTTCACCAAAAGTACAATATTACATACATATGTATACAAATATACATATTACATAAATGTATGTAGTAATTTAAAGCACAAAATTTAAAGCTAAAAATTAAAAAAATCACATATATTTAAAAATATTTTTAAGTGTTATATACACAAATTAAAAAAATGTATATTTAAAAAATATATGTATATATACATACATATATTTTAAATATTTTTAAATATATGTAATTAAATATATTTTATATGCAGTACGTGCATACACATATATGTAATATTCTATTTCATTTTTGGTTAAAGTGTACACAACAAAACAAATGTGTGGTTTTTTTAATTAAAAAAAAAAGTGTGCTGATATGCCACCCTGAAAAATTACCATCCTATGAGCTGCTAACTTAAATTGCCTCTTTAGAGATTACTGCCAGATTGTCACTCAGTTTTGTCTCTGGCATTAGCATTTGCTGGCTGCAAAGAGATCCCAGTCTTAGCGTATGGTATACCAATCCTTCACGTATCTATTAATTTATTTTGAAATTTCATTTTTAATTATTGTTTGGCAATGCAAAAGAGTATATATAGTGAGACCTGGTGTATATATATAAACCTGTGAGAGCCGGAACTCAATGGGACTGCATTGTTTTTCTGGGACTCCCTAATTTTCCGCAGTCTTACCACTTTTCTATTGCTTGTTTTAGTGGAAGATATTTGAGTTTCCCTTCTCTGACAGGTTTCCACCTTACACAGGCTCCGGCTTTTGCAGGCTTTACATTTCACACACTCAAGAGGAAAAAATTCTAATGACCATCATCTTTAAACATTTGCCACGGTCATTCCAAATGTGCTCTTTGAAAACAACAGAGCTGGACTGAAGTATTCGCGCCCCAAGCCTGCTAAAGTTATATCTGATTTATAAAAAAATTTTACATAGGTGTTTTTAATATGTCTGTATTTCATGGCATAATGCAAAGATAATCCTGGCTTCCCAGAGAAACATTCACCTAAACAAATTTGAGAAGTACTAAACTACATGAATCCGAGAACTGAAAAATAGAAGCTGGAGAAACCAGGTGTGAAATACAGGCAAAAACTACCATATGCAAATAGAGAGGTATTGTGGTCATGATGACATCTGTTATTCTGTTAAATCTTCTGTTTTGTCATCACGGTATCAAAAAAACAATAATTTAACAATACAATAAAAGAATGTCCCAAGTTGAATGACTCTAGGTAATTGCAATAAGACCTTAAAAAAAAAACGTTTTTTTTTTTTTACATTTCCAGAGCCTCAATTTGGAATAAGTGAATTAACTACTATAAGGTAAATATCACAAAAGAACACTTTTACTGCTTTTATTGGCCTGCAGTAGCTACATGTGGAAAGGAAGACTTTTCAGTAGTCTGCTCCCCAAAGACAAAACGTCAAATTTTCATTCATTCCCATGAGGATATGAATGTTCTTCAACATAAGAAAACTGATAACAAAATCTCATGTTCTGGGGTTTTAAACACCGGTCCCAATACATCAAAGCTGTAAAAGATATTCTGTTTAGGGGGTCGTTAACGTCTCACAGACCAAACAGCCCTTTCAGAAACGACTCTGAAGGAAAATGAGTCCTCTGGCGCTACATACGTGCGTGTGAAAGAGAGAGAACGAATCTGAGAAAACGAAAACGATTCTGCGGCACTACCGTTGTGTGCGCAGGATGGTGTGTAATCCTGAAGGAGAGAGGCTGCGGTTCATTCCCCACAGAGGAGAGGAATGTGTGCGTCTGACACAGTTCTAAGAAAGCTTCCATAGGGTGAGAGTGTGGGGAAGCAAAGTCTGGTGCGAGAGACTTAAGGGAACAGATGACCGCTGCATCCCCAGTGCCTAGCATACTCCCTGATCCACAAAATATACCCGGTAAATACTTGCTGAATGAGTAAACGCAGAGTAAACGAAGTTTTGGACCGGGGGAGGAGACATGACCCTGTAGGGGAGCTTCTGGGAGAAAAACTGAATACCCAGAGAAGGGACCGAACCCTACTGCCAGGAGAGGCGGGAGGCAGCGGGGTTCGCGAGAGTACTGACCAGAGAGAACTCGGTGCCGGGCCAGTTGACTCGGAAAGGGATGTCATCACTGAGTGGGGGGAGCGCTCGGCCGCCGCCAGACGCCTCCAGGAGGCCGCAGAGGACTAGGAACACCGGCCCTCCGGGTACCAGGCTCCGCGCACCGCCGCCTCCTTCCTCCATCCTCCGCCGCCGCTTTCTCCAGCCGCCGCCACGATCTCCTCTCCCCACAGAGGAGATGAGGGGGAGGAGGGGGGGAGAGGGGGGAGGAGGAGGAGGAGGCGGGACCACAAAGAGCAGTGGAAGCCGGGGTCCCAACCACCGCCACGTCTCCTTCCGGAGAGCCCGGCAACGCCGCCTCTGTCCCCTTGAACCTCCCGACACCGTTTCCGGGGCAGGTGGCATATCAACATCCGGGCCACGGACCGTCCGCCTACGGAAGCCGAGAAGTCGGTTGGGCTCCCCTTCCCTTCGGACACTGCAGCTTCGCGGTCGGGACCGAACCCCGCGGCTTCGCGGGAGGTTACGCCAGGAGGCCGGGCTTCGGACCAGCCTTGTCGGCGGAGAGGCGGCGGCGCGACGAGCCGGTGAGTCCGGGAGGCGGCGGCCGCACCCTCCCGCCCTCCGCGTCGCCTCGACCGGCCCCGCTATGAGAGCGGGAAGACGAAAGTGTGAGCGGGGCGGGTCCTGAGATGAGAAAATTTGAGGTAGCTATGAGAAGTGAGACGTTTCGGTATTCCTGACTGATATGCCCTCTCGCTGCTCCTCTTCTTTCCATTTCTCCCCATATGGCATCTGTGCATTTCATCGCTCCCGCCAGGAGCTTTTCTCCACCACTTCTGCTGGTACTTGGTACTTAGCACCTCAGTTCTGCCCTAACGCAGGGCAGTTTGCGAACTAAGCCTCTGCAGCCCTGGGTCCGGGAGAAGCAGGAGTGACAAAACCCGCTGTTCTCCAGTATGAGGATATCGTGATCCTCTGAGGTTGACATGGACTCTCCTCGTGAGGAGGGCAGCTGAACAAAACAGCTCCTACATTTTTCACTACGTGGGGCTTCGTCTTTATTCCCAGGGTTGAAGTGTTGGGTTGTTATTGAGGACGCCGACAAGTTTCCTTATGTGAGGCTTGGAACTAGGTGAAAGTGAGGTTATGAACTCAGACGCATTTGACTTCATTCCAAAATCAGAAAAAGTTTCGCATTCCTCTTACCCCTTTTAAAAAAAAAGAAAACCCACAATTTTTTTAGTCTCCAATATAGTGTAATATATGGTGTTTGCCATAGAGCAGTGATCATTCTCTTTCAGGGATATGGGAAAAGCTAGATTATCTTGCTAGAAGTGACTTTTTTCCCTCCAAATTTGAACCAAATCAAAAAGCAAGAAGAGCAGTCCATGTTTCATCTTAAAAATTTTCTTTATAATGTCAGGGATATATTGTATTGATAGATACAGAAAATTATTTTGTTCCTGAATTTAGGCATCATTCATTAACTTATTTGACACTTAGTGAATACTTACTGTGTGTCAGGCAAGAGATTGGTAAAATGATAAATGGGTCTCTGTCCTCTGTCTTTCATTGTCTAGTGAGGGAGGTCACACAAATAATTACGGTCTATTGTGATAATAATAATAATTAATATTGACTTAACATTTGTTCTATGCTATCCTAAGTACTTCATATGTACCAGGTGACAATATTATGAGGCAAATACTGTAGATTATAAAGTAGAGGAGTATTAGAATGGAGATAGAAAGAAAGAAGTGAGGCCAGGAAATGCCTGCCAGGAGAGATGACACTAGAACCAGGGTTTTAAGGAATTATAGTTCATCAGGCTGATAGGGAAGTGCATTTCAAGCATAATTTCCTGAATGGTCCACTAGAATTTTTTGGCCAGAGGGCAGGGTGAGATGGAATCATCAGCAGGAGATGGGTACTATAGGAAGACAAAGGGAAGATTGTGTATGCCCTGCAGAAGCATTTGACCTTTATCCAGTAGGTAACCCGTTTCTCAAGTATACAAAGATTAACCCCTGTCATAGAGTAATATCACAAGCTCTATTTAAAATAAAATCAGGAGAGGTTTATCAAAAGGAAAGACAACTTGAGTTGGGGAAGCACTGCATATCACAAAGTGAAATTCAGCATACTTCACTGTGCTAGAGTAACATAGCCATATTTATACAGTAAAACTAGGAACTTTAAGGTATAGTATACTGATTGGTGCTTGGTGAGGTAAGATAGTCGAGTGTGGGCTATCTGGAAGCTGAGCTTTTGATTGGTTTGTAAAGTATACATGGGTTACAGGGATTAGATTCAGTGCATCTTTCAAGGGGGTCACAAGGCAGTTGTAAGCTGCTTACATGGTGGATTTTCTGAGAACAAATGGTAGAACATCTTACACAATGGGTTTTGTTTTGAGAACAGGTGGTAAAGATAAACTTGCTTAAGGGAAAGGTCTTTTGAGAACATTTTACACGATGGGTTTTGTTAGCTCCTTCTTCTTGGTTTCACATGATGTGCTTTTGACATTGGTGGCCTAGCTATGGTTTATAAGCGAACAGTATGGTGCAAACGTTATAAAGAATAGAAAAATAGAAATCTTGCTAAGACAATCATAAGATCAGTAAGCCATGATTGTAAGACCTCTGGAGTCTTAGAAACAGGACATATTCATTAATCATCTATTGTCTTCTGAAAGACCAAGTGTCCAGGCATGGACCAGTAACTTGAAATGTGTCTCCAAAAATGGAGGGTGCCAAGAGACGAAAGAGGTGGGCAACTCCAGTGTGGTGGCGAAGTAGTTTTATAAGCGAGAATTAAACATACGAGACCAAGTCCTAGGCGGCTGCAGGAGCAAAGCAGATCTCCGTACCCTGCAGTGGGAGAGCAGAGGTTTTATAGTGGTGGTGGACAGTTGTGGCTACATGCCAGGGACTTACATAAGGATGACTTAGCAAACTGTAGTGAACTAACTGACTGCATGAAGGCGCTCATGTTCAGCCTTACAAAGCTTATTTCCCCTTCAATCCACCCCATCCCCAAGCCAGCTCTTATAATCTGGCATACTCCCCCTGTTGTGCTGTAGTATAAGATCCTGTTCCCTCCCCGCCAGAAACAGATAATAGAAGTGGGGTTGGCCAGGTGCCGTATGGTGCCTGGGCATGTGCAAGAAACAGAGAAAGTTACTGTGTGCCCAGAACAGGAGGAAGGCTTCTCTGAAAAGGATAAGGAGCTGGGAGAGAGAAGGTGACCCAATTCCTAGTCTCCTTATGTTCTGGGCCTAAGGCCTTTACTTAGGCAGCCTGGAAGGGAGGTGTTGAGGTGGACCATTCCCCCAACAACAAGTTTCCAGTATTTCAGTGAGCCTGATCACTTAAATACAATTATGTGAAACTAGACAAGCTGCTCCTAAAGGTTAGTTATAGTTTTAAAAGACATAAGATGGAATGATGCTTAAACCTGAGCCAGCCCCCCTCAGAAGTACCCGCCCCCCCCCAAAAAAAAACCATTGCCATTGAGTCGATTCTGACTCATAATGACTCTGTAGGACAGAGTAGAACTGCCCCGTAGGGTTTCCAGGGAGTGGCTGGTGGATTTGAACTGCCAGCCTTGAGTTAGTAATTGAGCTCTTAACCACTATGATACCAGGGCTCCTCAGAAGTACCAGGCACCCTGATTTTAAAATCCCTAACACACTTCCTCCTTTTGATCAAGGATTTTGATAGAAATTCTTTGATGACTTTATTGACCACTGTTGGAAGAAGCCCTCACACATCTGTCAGTTTGATGTACTGTGGGGGCTTGCGTGTTGCTGTGATGCTGGAAGCTATGCCACTGGTATTCAAATATCAGCAGGATCACCGATGGCAGACAGGTTTCAGCTGAGCTTCCAGAAAAAAATTCAAGCCTCAAGTTGCAATAGTGAAGGAATCTACAGTGAAAATATTAAATGACGCAGAAAGCATCAAAAGAAGATGGAAGGAAATACACAGTCACTGTACCAAAAAGAATTGGTTGATGTTTAGGAGGTACCATAAGATCAGGAACTAATGGTACTGAAGGAAGAAGTCCAAGCTGCACTGAAGGCATTATCGAAAAACAAGGCTCCAGGAATAGACAGAATGTCAACTGAGATGTTTCAGCAAATGCATACAGCGGTTGAAGTGCTCACTTGTCTATACCAAGAAATTTGTAAGAGAGCTACCTGGCCAGCTGACTGGAAGAGATCCATATTTATGCCTATTCCCAAGAAAAGGAATCCAACTGAATGTGGAAATTATTGAACAATAGCATTACTATCACACGGAAGTAAAATTTTGTGAAGATCATTCAAAATTGGCTGCAGGAGTATATCGACAGTGAACTGGCAGAAATTCAAGCTGGATTCAGAAGAGAATGTGGAACCTGGATTCAGATGAGAATGTGGAGCCTGTCTGGGATCCTGGCTGAAAGCAGAGAATACCAGAAAGATGCTTACCTGTGTTTTATTGACTATGCAAAGGCATTCGACTGTGTGGATCAAAACAAATTATGGATAACATTGCAAAGAATGGGAATTCCAGAACATTTAATTGTACTCATGAGAAACCTGTAAGATAGATCAAGAGGCAGTCGTTTGAACAGAACAAGGGGATACTGTGTGGTTTAAAGTCAGGAAAGGTGTGTGTCAGGGTGGTATCCTTTCACTATACCTATTCAATCTGTTTGCTGAGCAAATAATCTGAGAAGCTGGACTATATGAAGAAGAACGGGGCATCAAGATTGGAGGAAGACTCATTAGCAACCTGCATTATGCTGATGACACAACCTTGCTTGCTGAAAGTGAAGAGGACTTGAAGCACTTACTGATGAAGATTAAAGACCACAGCTTTCAGTATGGATTACACCTCAACATGAAAACAAAAATTCTCACAACTGGACCAATAAGCAACATCATGATAAGTGGAGAGAAGATGGAAGTTGTCAGGATTTCATTTTACTTGGATCCACAATCAACACCCATGAAAGCAGCAGTCAGGAAATCAAAAGACACATTGCATTGGGCAAATCTGCTGCAAAAGACCTCTTTAAAGTGTTGAAAAGCAAAGATGTCAACTTGAAGACGAAGGTGCACCTGACCCAAGCCATGGTGTTTTCTGTCATCTCATATGCATGTGAGAGCTGGACAATGAATGAGGAAGACCAAAGAAGAATTGACGCCTTTAAATTGTGGTATTGGCGAAGAATATTGCATATAGCATGGATTCCTAAAAGAACAAACAAATCTGTCTTGCAAGAAGTACAACCAGAATGCACCTTAGAAGCAAGGATGGTGGGACTATGTCTGACATAATTTGGACATGTTATCAGGAGGGATCAGTCCCTGGAGGAAGGACATCATGCTTGGTAAAGTAGAGGGTCAGTGAGAAAGAGGAAGACCCCCAACGAGATGAATTGACACCGTGGCTGTAACA